TCCCTTAACCGAAAATCGATGAAACGAATGTTGGCTGGGCGATCAACATTTGTACCCTTCCATTGTTACGAGATCGTTTACATAGTAGAATACAAAGACGATATTAATGATCAACGAAGCAAATTTGTAATTAACATTCGGACAGTATGAATTGTAGATCAAAATGGGTGTTGAAGAAGAGATATTAATCTCCAGAATGAAAGTTATCAGAAAACAACGATTTTTCCTTCTTCAGAAGACAACTAATTTTGTTGAACTATCAAGCAAAATGGGAATTATCCGTTAAAAAATTAGAAAAGTCTCCGCTGAGACAACACTAAGAGCAGTCGTCGATCATTCGAGACACACGCGATAACCTAGAGACGTCAATTTGTCGAACAGTCGAGATAATATTTTGTAAAGTTAGCTCGACGCCACTCGCTCTTCGTTCGAGACCAAATTGCTCAATATTTGATCATAATTTTCATACATTTACATTCACTACAAGCTTTGTAGTAAATTTTATAAAATTTATAAAATTACCGAACCGAGATTTATTTCCTTATCTTTTATCTGCTGAACGACTGTTTCGTCAATTATCTTATTTAACCTACTAAGAATTTTACAGTAATAAGTATGTGATGACAGTGAAAACTGATGACAAATTCATAGAGTAAACAGAAATAAGTAGAACGTATAGGTTCACATACACCGAAATTGTCCAATTTCGACAGAGACATGATTCCAAGTGTTTGAATAATTGATCTCGTCGCATGAGTTATCCCCATCGATATGTAAAGCAAGGAGCAAGGCCAAGTTTCTGGCCTAAATGCGTCACGCGAGGAAGAACGCTACGCAGACAAATACTGTGATTCACTTGTGATTAACTTCTCTGGACAATGATTACTGTTGAGGATTCTAATTGGTTAATTTCTAACAACTATCACGAAGATGTACAAATTATTGAAATTTGGAAATTTGGTTACTCTTCTTTCGTTATTTAGAAGTTATCGTTGTTCGAGGTTTATAGTAAGTACAACAATACCACCTACACATCATCACTAGAGGAACTAACTGGTGAAACAGCAAACTTTTTCGCAAGACCTCGCTAAGGTCCCTATTCATACGAATACAAGCTCTGAGCCAACAATGAGCCTAACTATCCTCCGCGTCTAACAACGAGAATTCTCTACGTGCACTATTCGTTTGTTAAGAAAACTTTGCCAGCTTATAAATTTTACCAGACTAAATATATTTGGTATCCTATTTTACACAGAGTCAATAGTTCACAAGATATTAACAATAAATGTCATTTACGTTTTTTATTTTAAAATTTTTCGTTTCCGGTTTTTATATACGTAGTATCGTAAAAAGTTTCGTCTCTTGGTGCGTAGTTTTAAGAGGTACCGGATGAGGGGTTGTAAAAGAGAAAGTGGAGTCGAAAGAGATACGAGACACATCATTAAAACCCTCGACGACGTATGAAACTCGCCGATACGTTGACCATTTTTAGTGGAAAAATCCCGAAATAGCTTGTGTGTATGGCGGGGGAGATAGGAGGCGGAGGAAAAGTTTTTCCTCGCAGACAGAGACGTCAGAGTGTCTCAGAGAAAGTAAGAGTTACAGATAGAGTGAGAGAGTTGGAGATAAAGTGTTGCGCAGAGGAGTGTTGTCGATAGAGTCAGCGTTATAGATAGAGTCGGAGTGATGGAAATAGAGTGTTCCATAAAGTCAGAATTGCAGATAGAGTAAGAGTGTCGAAGTATTGGAGATAGGGTGTTGCATAGAGTTAGAGTGTTGGAGATAGAGTGTTGCATAGAGTTAGAGTATTGGAGATAGAGTGTTGCATAGAGTTAGAGTGTTGGAGATGGAGTGTTGCATAGAGTCAGCGTTATAGATAGAGTAAGAGAATTGTGAATAGAATCGAAGTTTTGGATATAAAGTGTTGCATAAAATGGGAGTGTTGAAGATAGAGTGTTGCATAGAGTTAGATATGTAAATATAGAGGAAATGATGTGGATAGAGTGTTGCATAGAGTCAGAGTTACACATAGAGTAAGAGTAACGTAAACAGAGTGTTGCATCGAGTCAGATTTGCACATAGAGAGTTGGAGGTAGAGTGTTGCATAGAACATTATACGAGTCATTTAAAGGTTATCAGAATTGTCTGAAATATCTTAGAGTTGCAAGAATCGTTTTATAATTATTAGACTTGCATAACAGTTCTTTTACCATTATAAGCTATGTCAAATTATTATCATACTCGTCATTACCACAAAACTATTACATGAAACAATACAGATTCTCCATATACACTCGCGAAAACTTTTTCATATTACCCTTACCAATAGTGACCCACCGGCTACTTATTAATACTGATTCATGTTGCAGTGCTTGGCAGTTTTCATGGATCGGAAAGCAAGCTCTCAAAGAAATTGCGAACGTGACGAGACGTTGTGAAAGCTAGTACGGCCAAAACGTAGGGAGCAGATAGTGGGATTGTGGGACGTCGATTCCAATGAGGATTGTTGGAAGCATCGGGGAAACGACCGTGACTGAGAACGGAAGCATTCTTGTCCTCGTTCCAAATGGCGAATATCTGAAAATAATTTTCTCTCCAGTGTCCGAACGTAACAACATTCACGGAAGTGGTTCTCGGAGTGGTGTCTTCTATAAACCGACGATTTCCGGCGTAACGTTAATGCAACTTTCTTTTTCTCTCGTATTCAACGCACGTTCACTCCCGTGGAAACAAATCGTCCGAGCTTTATCGTCACAGAGAGTACCTTCTGAACTGGCACACACGACGAACAACAGTTTCTCAGATAATTCTTAACTCAAAAATACAAGAAGAGAAATTCCTTTCGTAAATATCTACGTGTACGATTCTAAGCTAAAATTCCTTTAGAAATAAAACACGATTCCTCGTGAACAAGTGAATCCTTGAGAAGTTATCCTTATCTCGAACTCGAGTCGAAGATTTGTCAGGAAATTAAAAAAACTACCTGAACTACTCGCGCAGAATGCGAATTAAATCCTGCAGAGATCTTCCGTAATGAGAACACTCCTTTTGTGAGCAGAGATCTTCTCTGGCTACGGAAGTGGAAGAAAAAGAAAAACACAACGTTCCGATGGTATTATCAGTTAACGCAAAAGGAATTCACATTGGAATTCCGTATAGATAGAAGGAAGTAAAAAAGAGGAAGAAAAGAAGAGGCGAAGTGCTAATCCCGTGGATCAACGGAAGAAAGTGGAAGTAAACTGAAAGAGCGCAGAGAAGAAAAGCACGAAACACAAGACAACAGCTTTCACTCCCGGGTCTGCCTTTCGTTTCCAACTATTTTCAAATGTACTCGAGACAAACGAAAGGAACAGAGACTGAAATAAACCGAACTTCTCACTATGTCGAGATGTGACCGTCGATCGGACATACGGAAAAAAGACGGCGATAACTCGCGGGGAATTCCGGAGTGGATTTCTTTAACAATACCGCTGAAAGTTTCCAGCAAGAGGTAATTATCCGTGAAACGCGAAATCGTAAAAACCGAGAACACAATAGCAAAGATGCCGCTTTCATTACAGGAAAACGTGATAGGAAAGCGTGGGTAGATTGCCAGATTTTTCCCGTCGAAAGAAAGGGATCCTCGGTAAGATTAATTACGAAAGTGGATTCGTTGAAACTGGTGTCAATGTAAGCAAACAAAAAAGAAAAGAAAAAAGGCAAACCAATTTTCGAAATTAAGCTCTGCAAATTTATAGACGTTCAATTAATCACACGAACACGTCGTAGAAAGTAGAAACGTGAAATTTTCGTTAGATAAATAATTTCGAGAAATGAATCCGCAATGAAGTATCGAGATGTGTGTAAACCATACGTGTACTCACCGATGGAAAATTATCAGTTGGATAACGGGGAAATATTTCATAAGTGAAAATAATCAAATATAACCCGGAAAGGATGAGTACCAGTCGGAAAGATTTGAACGATCGTATCTGATGTATTGGGGTATATGGGTGAAAAATCTGATTCATCCTACGAAAGTAACTGGCGAAAACAATACGAATTAATACAGTGGGTCAACGGCTGAGCAGTCGATCGAATGGAAGCTTGTTAGAGGCGTCCATGCATGGAAACGGAAGTGGAAGTGAGCATCGTCAACGAATCAGCCTTGCCAGTTGTCCGCATCCTCCTGCCGCGCAGGCAGAATCTACGTGACATAGCGACAAGCGTCACCAACTTCATTATCTCCGTATCGATACGAAACGAATGAAACGTTTTCCTAAATACTGTGTCTCAGGCTCCGGCATTTGTTGCTAAAGGATCGACGAAGAAAAATCAATATCGCTGGTGTGCGCTACGTGTTCGATTAATTGTTGTTAAATTTCGATCGTCAAATTGAAAAGTTGTGCTTTAGAAATTGGCAAATGAGAAGAAATTCTTTGGAAGATTAGTGGTGAAAATGAATTATATTGGATAAAATCGAAAAGTTTTTTCCAAAGTTAGTAAATGAGAAGAAATTCTTTGGAAGATTAGTGGTGAAAATGAATTATATTGGATAAAATCGAAAAGTTTTTTCCAAAGTTAGTAAATGAGAAGAAATTCTTTGGAAGATTAGTGGTGAAAATGAATATTATCAAAGGATGTTTAAATAAAATCGAAAAGAAATTCTTTTAGAGATGAACAGATTGATTTATTTAGAGAAACACAATTATTTCGACTAACGTGAACGTGAAATATGATAATGTGACATACGCTAAATCATAAAAGTGTTAACATACGTCTATAAATCTTCAAGCTACCGAACAACAGTGTTACTGCAAACCTAGTTGAAGTGTCTAAACCAAACTGATCACAAATTATGTCAACAAAACTAAACATATAATACTATCTGCGTTTATGTGCTTATAAAATTCGCAATAAAAAAACAAGTGAGCAAAAACAGTGCATAAAACACGTTAAACTTATTCCACAATAATTACTACCACATACACGTGAAATCTAATTAAATCTTTAAAAAAACAAACAAACCTGCTTCTTAATATCGAATTAAGAATTAAAAAAAAAAATTATTTCTTCCTAAATTGTTTCATAACTACTCGAAGAAATGCAAGCCCTCGAAGTTTTCGTGAATTCCACCCCCGATCCGTGGAACACTACTCTATTGATGGACAATTACACGTACCACAATAACACGAACATAACAGACCTGCAATTGAAAAACCAGTTCGTACTTCCATGGTGGAGACAAATAATTTGGACCTTATTATTCGCGGGTATGATCATAGTTGCCACCGGTGGCAACCTCATAGTAATATGGATTGTGTTGGCGCACAAAAGGATGCGAACAGTTACTAACTATTTCTTGGTGAACTTGAGCATCGCCGACGCGATGGTTTCTACGCTAAATGTTACGTTCAATTACATCTACATGCTGAACAGTCATTGGCCTTTCGGGACACTGTACTGCAAGATCTGCCAATTCATCGCGGTACTCACTATATGCGCCAGCGTCTTCACTTTGATGGCGATTTCCATCGACAGGTAAGCTATTACTTTCTTATTGAGTTGGGAAAAATTAGATCTCTCGGTTTTGGCAATTTTTTTGTTTCATTATAGGAAATTGTTAATAATGGACATAATTTAAGTGTGCTTTCTTTTATTAGCTATTTTATCTAAAGGGCCAGACTTTAGTAACTTTGGTATTTTTTTTTTTGCTTTTTAAGAAAATTTTCATATTTTTATATTGCTGAAGTAATTCGAAATAATTTCAATTAAAGTGCAATATTATTACGAAGTACATTATTAGACACAATTGTATAAAAAGAACATTTATCTTCTAATTTATTGTAATTTAAATTCTTTCGAAGAAAATTCACTACTTTTTAAGTTGATAAAAATTCTCCGCTGGACTGCGTTCAATCCAGACTTATTTTTCTAGTACAGTGAAAATAAAGAGTCTTCTAGGGTGACAGAGATGTAACGCAACCCAAAATTTGAAATTCTTATGTAAAGATTGTGTATTTCAATTAATTTGATAATTAATGATAAAATGCTATTTATTAGAAAGGAAAAAATTCAGCACTATAAAGTATCTTTCCAAAAAAAGAAAAAACCGAAAAGTTTCCTATGACACCGTTTGTGAGTCATTAATCATCAACTTGGCCAGAATATTCAGTAACCAATTATTACAAAAATGTCCTACATTCCCTATGACAGTGAAGACAAATGCTCTGATACCCAAAAAGCATCGAAATGCTTCAAGTTAGCTTGATATGCTCCTATTTCGGTTACGATCCCATAAATGCAAGAAAAGCTTTCCCCGAGATATAAAAGAAAGGGGTGATAACGATTTCGCGAACCAGTAGTTAACCGCGTTTTGCAAGGAAAAACAGAATAATAAGAACTTACAGTAGATTCTCCCTTATCCGAATCAATAGGGAGACAAAAATGTTCGGAAAATGGAATTTTCATTTGTTGTTGTTTCGTAGCTATAACACATCTTATTACGAGAAAAATAAACTTAGGATACGATAAAACGAAATTGTTGCAGTAATTGATCTAATTAGCTATACGTAGGCTCTCCTCTATTTTCAATTAACTCAAACATTCACGCATACACATACCGTGAAACTGTAGCTGTGTAGCTCGCAGAGACACGCTTCTCGTTTCATTTTTCTCCCAAGCTGAGCTGTCCGTTGTGTACTTCAATTCGGTGCACTTAATTCACACGAACGAATATGCTAAGTACGTAAATTGATCGGAAATCCGCGTATAATCGAAAACGCGTTGTTCGATGTATTCCCTACAAGACTATAATCGCGCAGTATAAGCGACGTTCGTCGAGGCACTCGTTCGACAGCCTCGTAAACACCGACTGAGGACGAGTCGTCCTGCCCGATTTCTGATCGCTGTACGCTCGCAACTGTTCTGGGAAAAATTCTAGGCCTTAACTTCTTCGAACTCGTGATATTTCTTGCGAGCCAAACATAAGAAACGCGAGCCAAACATAAGAAACGCGAGCTAAACATAAGAAACGCGAGCCTGGTTCGCTGTACGTTCATCGAGCCAAACATAAAGCTAGCTGTCCTCTTCAGAGTAAAACTATCGCGAGTCGCTCTCGAGAGTATCTCTCGCGAGTGGACACTGCGTCTGAGAGTGACTGTCTGAGAGCATCGCTCGACTTTCTGAGAGTTACGATTCGAATAAACAGTTGCTTTGCTTTTAAGTTAGTTAAGAAATGCAAATTCTGTTAGAGTCTTACTTTTTTATTGTATCCCTGTCATCACGATTATTTTATTATATTTACGATAGTTTATTATAACTTTTACCACTTCGTTTCGATTAATTTGTCATTAATTATTTTTCATTATTTTTGGTTTTTATTAAACACTAATGTACAACAATACTCAATATGAGTTTCTAAGTGGTTAAATTACGAACTGACCATCATCCGAAGGAAACGAGACGGAATATAAGTTATTACCTTGAACCGCATTTTTCATAACTTTCCCATCATTTCCGGGAAAAATGACAATTACATTTTTCGTTCCTCAGGATGCGTAGAATCATGCTGTAAAAAAATGTTTCGTTCCGGCCGTATGCCAAAATTGGCCTTTTTTTAACATCCTCCTTTCGGATAAGAGAATCTCTACTGCAAAACATAGAGAAAGACGTAACAGATCCAAGCCAGTTGATTTTGCCACGTTCGCAACACTCGTAACGAGGGGATGATAAATGGAAATTGATTCCTACTGTAATACCTACATATGCATGCACCTATCCATACGGAGAGAATAGGAAACAATTGTTAACGAGGTTGGTAGATCGTTAGCAGATCGTACTAATGGACCAGAGGTCAGACGAATAATTACCTCGGCTGGCAGTTTTGCTCAAAGCAAAAGGAAATCATCTCTCTTGGCAAAGTACGTTGAGTCCTCTCATTAAAGTGCAGCCAACCGTTTGCTACAGCCGCGAGCAGATGGTGAATCGGTTAGACGCAACTTCTATACAATTGTTCCGTGGATAAATCGAATTTCACCGAGGCAAAGGCGATCGGGAAGCCACCGCAACACTCGTTGGAACGCTGCTTAATAGCTTTCCGTAGAGGAAACGGTAAAGCCATCCCGCAAGGAAATGCTTGTCGTCTGTCCGAATCTTATAAACTATTACACTTTTCCACGGGCCTCCTTCGATCTCTGCCTTCTGTGCGTTAATTCGAGGGGAGGAAAAAAGAGGGAGAGAACGGAAAAAAGGAAAGACTTCGGGGGAAATAGACGGCAAACCTGGCTCTTCCACGCACACTGGCAATTTTTCATCCTCGATCCAACTTATCGCAGCTCTTGCTGCTGGAAACGATTCTCCTTTCGATATGTCAACCTATTCATACATCCGCTGAATAGAAGGAAGCGACAAACTCCTGAACGTTAAAAATAAATTGGTTACGTTCAACGTTCGAGGAATTTTATAACGCTGCTTTACTTCGACATTTTGAAGTTGCGAGTGTCGTTAGGATGTATTACAGCTATTTTAATTTAAAATCACCGAACGCGAATGGGTTTTATATGTAAAGCGGTTCTTTCAAATATCTTTTTAATATTGCCGCGGCTGGAAGTAAATTATTCATTTCTCTTCAACGAAATAAGCTATAAATATGCTAACTGTACGATGTAATCTTTTTTACCTGGTTATTATTACTCTCGAGAGACGTTAAAGAGGTATTAGATTCGGATTTTTATGTACAAGTTAATGTTCTTGTAGTGTGTTGGCAAAAGTGTATCGAACATTATGCGAATTGTTTTAAATAAAAATTTTTCAATCAAAAGCACGAAAACTTTTAGAGTGACCTAATATTTTACACAAAGTGTCACAAAATGATATAAATGAATAGAACATTGGTCACGATCAAATTCAACGTTCAATTAAGAAAAATTCCATCAAGTAGACATCAGGTTTAATTATATCTTCAAAAAAAGAAAATGTAGCGAAATAGTACAGATATTTTATGAAAATGACAACACAAATTTTAGGTGTAAATGAATCTTTCTACTCGAGAAAATTAAAAAGAAAGTGATTGATAGACAAATCAGGTGAATAGATCGTGATCGATTTTGGACTTAAACATTTTTTCAGTATAAAATGACAGAATACACGAGAAAATTCACGACGAAGCAATTTCGAAGCCGAAACATAACACGTAACTCAAACACGTCTTTACGTGAACTAACTTGCACAATGACTAAAACGATTGACAATGTTTACCTTCCGCATGCAAATAGAGGGAGGGATCAGCCTATGTAACAGCTTACATTGTTACCGCTTTGACGGAAACAAAATTATTCTCGAAACTTTGTAGCCACTTTTTGTACATCTTTTTCTATTTAAATGGTAAAACTTAACAAGACGAGTTGAAAGTGAACGTTCTTTGTGAAGCTTCACGAGTTAAGCGAAATCGGTAGGAACGTGTGTATCTTCCACTGAATATTTTAATATTTCATTAAATCTGACGTTAAGCAGAGAATTTTTACTTGTCATAGCTAACAAGTATGAAAAGAAATTCTAATGCATTTAAAAACATCAATTTTGGACCCTAGAGGCCATATTTCCACGCTTTTCAGTAAAAAGTACAACATTGTGATCATTAGACTGCCAATTTTTAATGCACTTATAGGAAATTTAAAGGTACGATATTGCACAGAATGCACGCAATATGAAAATATCCAAATTATAGTGCTTTTTGTAATATCTGGTAGGTGAAACAATCTCCTTTTTCTAACTATATGCTGAAAAATATAAATTTGCATTAAAATCCGCAGTCTAGTGTTCATCGTTGAATTAGTTTCGTTACACTCTATCACTTAGCGGAGAAAAATTTATCAGGTACCGTTTTAAAAAATCCAACTGACCACCAGCCTCAATGCTTCCTCTAACAGGGAAAATTCCCGAGGTGTTACGCTGACTATTTGACGAGCTTTTGCACAATGCTAGAGCACGCTTACTGCTGGCAAAGTTAGCTAACCTTTAGAAAACAAAGGACCGCAACTTTAACGTTAAATATCTGGTAAATTTGGGTCTGCGCCCAAAACCAGGTACCATTAGATTCAGTAGTTGAAACTCTATTATTGTGCAAAAGCTGATTAAAAAGTTAGAGCAACACCACGGGACCTTTCCTTGCAAGTGAATTTTCACCTACATGCTTTGGTACTATACTTTTCATCTTCTTTAATCTCTCAAATCTTTCAATTGAACGTAATTTTCAGATTAAACTGGGTCATCCTGTATATGTTACTACAGAACCATCGGTCTCGTTGATTGCATTTGATGTTTTACATAGTTACTAGTACCGAACACTTTACAAATTTTACAAATTTACACTTTACATTCGAGCGTTTCAATTAACTGTGATAGATTGTCAATGACTCTCATGGTGCTATTGGCAAGTCCGATACAGGTCACTAATGAATACCACCGTGGTATTCAACATGTTAATCTGACAAGGATAAATGCTATCGATTGCACAAGTTTCACTATGTTTAGTATAGAAT